ATATCTAAAACAAACACCAATAACCTTATTTGAACAATCAATTGGAAAACGAAATTACCAGACTCTCACAAAAATAAGATTTTCCTATTAGAGCGGACGCTATTACAGAGTTCATTTGTTGCGACAGGATGCTCTTTGTAGCTTGCTTGCAAGGCCGGCTTTCATTTGTATCTTGTTTTTGAAAGCAAATTGATTTTTAGTAAAACCAAAATGCAGTTTGACTGCCACAGTGCATAGTGCTGCTTGGAACAAGAAAAGAAATTACTTCACGATTAGAGGCAATAGTTTCTTCAGTAAACAAAACGAGTAGGGCGTGAGTGTTACAACTCCCTAATATTATCATTTTTATTAGCAAGTGAAACGTTATGTACGTGTCAATTACATACAACTTCCCGACATGGAACGCACCTCTTATAAAAAGGAAGAACCCAAATTAATACCAAAGCACTTTTAATTTGTAAAAACGCTTGAGGACAAGCTAAGATGCAAGGCAAGACCTGTTCAATACTGCTATGCGCTTTGATTTTCTTGTGGAGCACACAGGTGATTTATGGGTATACGGGACCTTATATCCACGGCAACAACCAGGGGAAAAGGAAGAGAGGTGATATCATGCAAAAGGTACAGTGACACTGAAAAGACTATTGGTCAGGGTTGTATCTAGGATTTATCCTTTGGGGGAGAAGTTCCGAGTTGCCTGACTTCCTAAGGGGGTCCGGGGGCATTACCGGGAAATTTTTTGAAAGGAATATGAGAGGGGGGCGTAAGGGGGGTACGAATATCGCAAAACCGCACAGAATTACGAATAAAAACCGCACAGAATAACATAGGAAAACCGCAAACCGCATTAATTTTTAAATACCGCAAACCGCTTGGTTTTGTAAAATCGTAATACCGCAACTTATTAACATAAATATTTCCGCAAAACCGCACCAAAAATCGAACAAAACCGCATCACCGCAAGCCCTTAGTCTGGTCAGTGCAATTTTTCATAATTTATAGAGATTTTTGTGGAGACGCCAGCCGGTTGGTGTCTATCCGTATGGGCACCTGAACATGGCGGCCGGAACCAACAGAAACATCTGTCACTGAGTTTTGCTATGAAAGTGTGAATTCACCTATATCGAAGAACATTAAAGTAACAATTTTTCTGGTACAAGAACTGTTCCGATAGCAAAATCACCCAAAGGAAGTCACTTTTGTAACCTATGTGACAGCTCTTTTGGCTGCCATGTAAACGCCGCGTCACGCAAAAGTTTCGAAATTTCAAGCGTACTAGATCACGAGAAAAAAAGAACCCTTTCGAAGTGAATATTGGTATAAATATTAGTTGTTAGCTGCTCTAATACTTCAAGAAAGTAAAGATTCAACAGGATCGACAGTTCCGTTAGTTTGAATTTTGGTGACGTCATGTAAAAATTTGTTTTCATTTTCGTATAAAAACTGGACCTTAATTCAAAATGAAGAGAAATATATTTAACTCAGGAAAAAAAGGTTTGGTGGTTTTTGCCTCCAAGGGCCTTCAAAAGTTTTAATTACCTCAACTCGGGCAGGGCAGACCCACCTTAAAAAGACTAATATATAGATTTAGCCAGGGCTAAAAGCGAGGCTCCCATTAATATAATTAAAATATAAATAAAACAATAAACTTGTATTCCACAATTCAGTTAACTTTAGAGTACATAGCACTTTCATGTGACTTTTGAGGGAAAGGCTAAGTGATTTTAGAGAAAAATAATTTGCAAACAGCTTAAGAGTGAACAAAATGTTACATCAAGTTGATAGCCTCATATGTACACCCAAAAAATAGCAATCATCTTCGATCACATTTAGGAGCCATAATGGCTCTTGATTACCGTAAGATTAATTAGGCCTGGACAAATTCAGGCCGAATTTTTTTGCGTTCGACAAGTTTACTTCACAAAATCTTGCCAACAAATCCGGGTTCGTGTAAACCAACCTTTTATACCATTTATACATCACATTAGAGGTGAAACAGTACTATGAGGTACTGTTTTTATCATACAGACCTCGGACAGAATGCAGTATTTCACGATTCTGCAACACAAATTGCACTCATTCAATATTCAGGACGATCGAGGCACGCGTGGGCTTTTTAAACCGTTAAAAAAATTTCCAAAATCATATACAGTACGGCCAGCCGGTTCTCACTTTTGCAGTGCGAACTGTAGCGAGTGTTTGAACGAACATACTAGAGTTAAGCTACAACATAATAAAGAAATTATTATGTTTATTCTCTATTTTCCAATTCCCCATAATACACTCTGTTTGCCCCCCAAATTTTGCACAAACCATTGTTTTTAAATGCTCCTGGGAGTATTGCATTTTCCCAAGAGCATTTTAAGACAATAAGTTATGCAAAATTTGGGGGGCAGACAGAGTGTATTATGGGGAATTGGAAAATAGTCAATTCAGTTTTATTAAATGGTCTTATCGATGTGTAATCTTTAAAAGCGCCGGTTTGATACCCGCGGCACTGTGAGTACTCCTGCAAGCGATGTTCACTGAACAACTGAAAACAAACGGCACGGCGATTAAAATTGTACGAGAGACTACCAACAATCAATAAAAGAAATATAATTCGGTGAAACATATACAGAGACAACATTTTTCATTGACGAAGACAAGTATTAAAGTGTCTCTAAAAATCCTGAGTCTTCAAGCTTAAAGCTTAAGTTTATGTTTTAAGCCGGCTTCCCGGTATTTACTTTTTTCAAAGATGAACTCGAGGCAAGAAAATCGCTCAAAGCTTTCTTTTACAGCCAGAATTATAACTAAATGTTTTTTTGGAACGTTTTCTTTCTATTTGCGGTGAGAAAATGTCGCTTTTTTAAGTTCTGTAAGCTTATATCAAACCTGATTCTTGGTCATATCAAATTGTCTCAAATCTTACAAACGTGCATAAACTACATAGCCGCATAAACTGCGCTCGACTTCATTAATTAGATATAAAAAGCAAACATCAAACACAATAATTACTGAGGCTTACCATTCGAGATGCAGCTCCTAAAAGGTATCAAGGAAGGCCAGTATCGCTTCAGACTTTTCAACCCTTACGCATCAAGCAAGGTGAAAAGCGAAATCGATGCCATCCGAAATCGGATTTCCGACTTTGACAAGTAATGTATTAATTTCTCAACCAAAAACCAACTAGCCATGAATAACAGAAGACTCCTGATGGCAGCTGAATTTCATTTTGTGCATCCAGTGGAAAAAGACAGTTAAAAACATCACAAGTTGACACAAACTCTGTCAGCTTCAGCTGTCAAAGTAAAAAAGATTCAAGATGCTGCATAAATTTTCTGCATGAGCTCACCTGTCAAATTTTGACCAATCAGAGCGTCAAAATTGGACGTACAGCGTGACCAACGCGTGACCATGTTGAGCAAAATCAAAAGCAACTGCCTTCCCCGTCTGTAATAGCTGGCTGAATTTTCGCGTCTGAGGTCAGTTTTAAATCAAAATTTTAATTGTGCGGCACAAAAACAAAACATATTTCATATGAATTAAAAAACAATCAAACTTGAGCCTGCGATCATTTGAAAACTAGTAACTTGTCAGCGGATAACTTCAAAAAAATACTCGACCTCGATTGGTGAGACACCTGAGCCCGCGATACAGTCAAGTGATACTGGTCAGCGGATACCCTGTTTTGACAGCTCTCAATTGATCACAACATTGATGTCCAATGGATGTGTGCATTATCAGTTTTCCTGTGCTCTCAAATTAGCTAGAAAGTATAAGATTGAACATTGATTGCGAGCTAGTAAAACAACTGGTCAGCGGACAGCTTCCAAATAAATCACGTCACCTTGATGAGTTGACACATGAGCCCCCGATATGGTAATGTGATACTGGTCAGTGGCTTTCCTGTTTTGACAGCTGTCAATTGACCATATTGTGAATGGCCAATATAAAAGATATGGGTTTGCCAAGACACACCTGAGACACCCCTCCCTTCCTTTTGATAGTCTCCCCTACCCTACCCGTACAATCTGTAGACGCGTACGTACGCTCGGTCAGTCACGTGACAACCAAAAGAGGTTGACCATATTCTATGAGTATGGGGCTCTGTCCCACGCGCGCTTCGCGCGCGAGGAAGCCCCGCTAATATACGGTTAAAAACAAACAAACAAACAAAAGAACAACAAATCACACTAAACGGAAGAGAAAACCAGCAGCAAATGCAACTTTTGTTTTACTACACTGAATCATTATATTATACTTGAACATTATACGTTTGTCTATTTAAAAACAGAAAGATGTTAAGGGTACAATCACTTGAAAATGTCATCTTTTTTTCGAACGTCTTTTTTCAAAACTTAAAATCCGTCGAGTGCTTAATTTAGTATCATTATCATTATCATAATCATAATATCTACACCTCGCCATTCCTTGACGAACCATCGAGTTACTTCGATTTAATCCCTCTTGGGCTTCCCCTACACTGTACTTTGGGTAGCTTGCCTATCATGGGAAATAATTTATTCCTTAACCGAGGGTTGATTCATTTGCAACATACGCGTATAGCTGTCGAATTTTCCCCCTGGAATTTTTTTATTGTTTTTAGGCCTAAAAACACGGGTATGTTGCAAATGAATCCACCCAGAGTTTGACGTTATAAATCTTAAAGTGATTTTTATAAAATGATACATTTATTAACTAATTATTGCTTTGGCTATTTTTCAGGACAAGATTCTTAACGGGGTTTTACTGGTTTGTGAAGCGGCAAGAATTATGGGCTGTGAAAATCTCAGACCGGAAGAAACCATGAGAGAAGAGCGTTAACTTTGCTTTTTTATTCTATTTTCCCGAATAATTCAAAACTGCATCTTACCAGGAAAAAATAAATGTAAACAAAAAAAATAAATAAAACAACAACAGCAACAACAACTAGTTCTGTTTACTCTTACTTGGGAACACAAAGCCTTGCTTAACTGTATGATCCGTAACATGTCAAAATCACAATTAATATTTGCACAAAAATGAAAGGTTGTTGACTAAAAAAAATGATTATTTATTAGGACATGCATAAGAAGAGCAACTGTGTTTGTTAACCCATAGAGGTTAAAGGAGGTAATCCCTGTTTATTTGGTTATCGTTTCAAGTCATTCAGTTCTAGACTCAAGAACAAAATTGAGAACTTACTCAAATACAATAACTTTTCAAGCTTAAATAAAGTATATCTATGAGGAGTGATATACACTTTTTCTTCTCGTCTACTGATAGTAATATTGTTTATTGCTTTTTCGGTTTAAAGAAGAGCTCAAAATTAAAAAGAAAGTCCGAGATATTCCTGAAAGCCGACACTCAACTCATGTTGGGATGATTTACGCGTCCGCTGCTTGCGCGCGCATATCATTCCTGTGTACACTAGTTACTCGTGTCGCAATTGCGTCATATAACGTGGTAGCATGGTAAGGTACAAATCTAAACAAGCAATTCGTTGGTACTCTGTAAACTTCAACTGCAGTTGACTTTTGAAATAGTCGGTAAACCTTTTTCCCTTTAGGTCCTCAGACGACTTTAAGACCACTTTAACGTCTTGTATAAATTGAAATCGGTAAATAAGACAGATGCTTTAAGCGTGAGATGACTAACTAAATAGACATTTTCTGTTGCGTCGTCCAGTTGCACTCACTAAAACAGACGATTTTAATGTCTAGGACACTAACTGCGTCTAGTAACGCAACACTCCAAAACGGGACTCATTGTGCTCGAATCGTCCCTAACGAGTCGAAGTTTAATGTGCAATCCAGATTATGTTGTGCTCATGGCTTTCAATAATGACAAAAAAAAAATCAGCTGTTATCCTCCAACCTATCATTATCTCACAGTAATATTATGGATTTTAATAAATGCCATGATCTTGTTAAATGCCACTCTATGAATGGCATTGGGAACTATCACGAATATCTTGGGTCATAAACTAAGATAATAATAATAGCTTTTTTTCTTTTTTTTTTTCCTTTTCGATAGACAAAGCAATAACCCGCACAATGGTGCATCCCTTCATGTTTAAAGTTTTTTGTTCCTTCATAGCAGTCAAATAAGCATATTCAAGAAGAAGGAGAATTCATATATCATATACATTCATAGATAACTGAGACCACCCGCAAGTATTGCCTACAATATGTAGCTAATGTTTTTTTTATTCAAAAATTAAACAGCCAATATTACCACTTCGTATACTAGCATATATTACTTTTTCAAATTATACTTTTTCATTATTTATTACTCTTTCATATTAATATCTGTGTGTTTTTATTGCCCCGTTGACAAAAAATAAACTTCTTTAGATTACATCGCATGTGTAAATTGGGGACACAATTCTCGTTCGAAGTTAGAAAGTTGCACGGTGAACCACATATATGTGAAAAAATTATAAATGTAAACTTAGTGGTGTAAAAAGCATTCAAAATTAAACTTAAGCGATGCCAATATTAAAAGTGGAGACTAAGGTTAATTAGCGAGCCTTTATGAACTTGATATGCTTTTTTCCACTTTATTAATGTCTGCGTCGGGTCTCAGACGTACCTACTCACTTACCAACATTACTACATCATTGAATGAGCAACGATGAGAGTCTCTTTCATTGTGAGGTTATCTGGCCGCGATCGGTGGACAAAACTGTCAACACAGAGAATTTTTAGCCACGTCAAGGGTGCGAAAAAGCAATTGCCGATATTAAAAGACATCTAGAAATGGCTTCATTGCACAATCAATTCACTTAGTAAAATACCCTCACAATCCACAACCCTCAGGCTGACATTAAATTTTTACGATTCGCAAAGTATTTTTTTGAAAAATTGGTTCACGACGCTGATACAGCACACTTGAAACATTTTCGCTGTGGTTTTTATAGGGAAATACGGTCAATGGAACGCACCCTTAATAACTGTAAAGCTTATGATAAAAGTTAACAACTTTGATGCTAAGATGCCATTTACAGGCGTACTTTTTGTCAGTTACTCAATAAATAAGAAATAAGTATTCATTTCCCAATTAGCAAATCAAACTTGTAATAACAGCACTGAACCAAATAATAACCACTCTGTATTCTAATGTCCAAAATATTATTGGACATTGCTTATTTAAGTTCGGTCGAATAAAATTTTTGGCCACTATAGACTGTACCCTCTAGCAGCGACGGAACACTACACTAAGCTATGGAAATCAGCGCCAGTTGCATCCTTTTCGCCCTTGTTGTACTAATAACATTTTCAGTTGAAAGTGAAGCTGTCGTAATCGGAGGTATGCAGGGCTTTAGGAGAAGAAGTGGAAAGAGGACATTTTCTACAGCAGAGAGTGTAATGGTGAGATAAAAGAGGCCCAATTAGATTCTAAGACGAGTACGACTACGAGTAAGATATTTTCTCAATAGACACACCGAGTAGTGCGCGCGCAAGAATCAGCGTCATTTTGGCGGGAAAAGGTTAGTTTTCTCGAGAATGTCGTAGTGGCAAAAACAAAGTATCAAATGTTAAAGGTTTTATAATTTTAAGATCGGGAGAGAGCTTTACCTCCTGAAAGATACCAGCTAGCGTCTCCGGTGAATCAAAAGTACAATGAAGCCTTCCAGGGCGTCAATTACATGTAATGAGAATATGCGAAAAAACTTTCAGTCACTACAAATCTCGACCTTGTAGTCGTTTTTCGTCTTAGAATCTAAAGGTCTCTATTTATATATTTATTTTTATTTCCCCACTGTGTTCTTCAGAGAGAATTTCAAAGAACCAAACTTATTCCTAAAGCATTGAATTTGTTTTCGAATGTAATGGCCTTTTTACTGGTCAGCAATTAAAAATTTGGCCATGATATTCTTTCAGAATAAAAGAGGAGATTGGGCCACAAAAGAAGTGAAGAATGTTGCCAGTCGCTTCAAGGGAGAAAGCATCCAGCCTCAGATACAGTTTTAGTTCTTTTCAACGAAATAACCCCGGCCGATATAACAAGTAGATAGTAATAATACACTATTGTATCTCAAAAAAAAGTGCATTCGAATTTCACTAGATGCATTGGAAATTAAAAGTTACAATATTCTCAAAATGCACAGCTTTGTTTCTTCGAGTTTTCTGTTAGTTCAATTTTCAGTCAGGGATTAATAATTAATGTATACGTGATATTTCAGTTAACTCGGATTGACACTAAACTCTGAATTGTGTATTAATTATGAAAGGCAATAAACTTTCTCCATTGATTCTGTGCTCAAGAGTTGTGTAATTTATCTACTGTATTATATTTCGAAGAATAAAATTTAAGCTCAATAAAACATGTACATATGTGTGTTTAGTATTTTGCGCATTTTTCTTCATTAATGTCTATTAGGATCAGGCAAGAGAGGATAAAGGGGACAGAGAAGGCTTCCCCCATACACACCCTATTCGATAAGTAATTCGTCCCGAGTTATTTTTAAGACCACAGATTCAAAGGGGGATTAGACAAAAGCCAATCACATAGCGCGAATGTGTTGCGCGTGGATGACCCACCCTCAGAGCCACGCGTCCTTCACGAATTGAGGCAGAACAAAATGGCGGAAGACGCGAAGAGCGATATTGCTATTCGTTTTGTCGACGAAAACGACTAGAGAGAGATTTCTGCTAAAGCTGTGTCAGCGAAACGGAAGTTAAAAAAAAAATCGCTCTTCTGGCTTGTTTCTAAGCATTGTTACGCTGTTGATTCGAGCGAAGCTTAGAGGTCTGGCGAAGAAGTTGAAAAAGTCAGTGCAAGTGAAAGTTTGAACGAAAGACCGATAATTACAAGCTTGGGAATCGTCAGCTTCTTACGCTTACGCTTAATTCTGAGGCAAAAGTTGTGTAGCTGCGTGGTAATTCCAATATGTAAAAAAATGGATAATAACGATAATAAAAGAACAAAGAAATAAAAATAGAATAAAATGCAGAATGCGCTCCTTTAATTATCAATATTGCAGGCGAGATATCCTCTGAAAAAACTATTATTAAGCACTCATTAATACATTATTTTTAAGTCAAATAACCCAATTAGCACACTATAAAGCGATCTTCTCAAAGAAGGTGTCCATAATCAAAGCCATCAAAAGATATTTACAAAGAATATACCGAGTCTTGATATTGCAAGTGTTATCCATTATTTATATCTAATCCATGTATTCTATTATAATGCAAATGTACGGGGGCAGTAATTAAAGTTGTAAAACCCTTTCGGTTTTGTTAATATAGATGGTCAAACTTTTTTAAGCTGCACACCTGACAAATGTAACGTCTCAAGATTGGCGGACAGTGTTAATAAGTATGTCCCTTTAGATACGAATAGCACACGAGATAAAAAGCTAAAGTTTCAACACTCTGGGCAACTAATCTGTGCAAGGTGATCGTGCGTTTGACAAATCCAGACAACACTGCAAAGTTGGCGGTGCTTCGGAGATGCGTTTAGAGATGCAAAGCCGGTTTGAAGCGTTGAGAAAGGATTGATTTCTCATTGTTACTGATTAAGGTCTAGTTAGAAACACATCTAACAAACTTTCTATTAATTTTTAACGATAATTTTCGAATATTACTTATACTTGATGCTGAGTTACGCTTTCAGTATCTTCGCACTCTAAAAAATGTAGTCTATCTCATTTCTTGTAAGATCTGTGGCATTCAGTATGTTGCATCCACTACCACTACCTTTCGGTTTAGGTTTAATAATCACAGAAGCAATGCTCTTCTCAAGTTGTCTTCAGAAAATAAGAGGAATCTTATGATGATACTCTTTACCAGCATATTTCCATAATTCGGGACACTTAGGATTAAAGCATATGTGTATACAGTTGATAGACAGGGCCATAGGAGAGAGGGAGTTGCGGGAGAAGGAGGTGACAGTGGATGTACAAATTAGGAACGCTGCGCCGACAGGGACTTAATGAAGATGATCGTTTTTATGCCCAAAACAGAAAGACGCGTGTGGGCGCGCGTAGGAGATGCCATGAAATTTTCCATTAGACTTTTAAAATAACAGTCATTTCAGTTATGATGCGCGCGTGTTGCCTTGGCAATTCAGCAATTTTAAAAGTGCCGTGCGTTAACGGCTAGTTAGTCACCCCGAAGAAGATCACTGAATGTGATCGAACTATAGGTGGATGGAAAAGGAACGGTGTTCTGTCATCACTCATAAATTTTGATATATTACCGCAGTACATCTGCTCCCGTTACTCAGCTCGAGGACGACACGTTCCGTTCCTTAGAGTAAATAATACGGCTTTTCCAGAGCAGGTCAAGCACGAATTTTAATCGAAATCAAGCAGATACTCGACGGATTTTTTTTTTTTTTCGGAATAAAGATTGTTTGTCATGATGTCATATCCTTCAATTTATTGTACATGGTGTCGTACTTGTATTAGTAGTCAGGAGCCCATGGGCCCCCGTAGCAGTTTAAGTTCAATATGTAATCCAAAGATTGAAGTTTACTAATATACAGATTTAGCCAAGCCTAAAGGCGAAGCTCCCGTTAATAAATATGTAATTTACTTCAAACAATAAACTTGAAACCATTCCAAAGAAATATACTTGGGAGTTCAGCTTGCGATCAGATGAAAACTAGTAACTTCTCAGCGGAGAACTTAAAAAAAACACGTAAACTCGATGTGTCGAACCCGCAATATGGGTACGTGATACTGGTCAGCGGATATCCTGATTGTCAGCTGTCAATTGACCACAACTTGGATGTGCAATACCACGTTGCAGGCTCCCACACTAGCTAAAATGTGTAACATTTCACACTGGTTTCCCTGTGACGCAGATGAACAGACGGTCGGGCGGACGGTCACGTGATTGCCAAAATTCCTTGGATGGATAGATAACCAAATTTTCTTAGCTATGGGGCTCCGCTGGCGCTTCGCGAGCACGCGGAGCTCCGCTAATCACTTAGTACAAATTAATGTTCTGATTTCAAGGGATCATATAAGGAATTAGAACGTTTTATTCTTCTTTATCATTTTAATCATAATCGTTATCATAATCATTATCATCGCCATAATATTTAGAGAGAGGTGCTTTTGAAATTTGGCGGCGCTCCTGCATAGACAGTCACAATATCGACTAAGTATTCTTCGAAATTCTAAGCTATAATTTTTGAGCGTTTCATTCATCTGAGTGTATCATGGGCCTGGCTGAACAGCGCGCCCACGTCTCATAGTCTTGTGCGTGTTCGTTTGTGCAGTGGAGGCAAAATCTTTCAAACGTACGGTCTACCGGCCTTGTAGGCAATTAAGTATAAAGACCTTGAAATCGAAATTGAAAGAATGTGGGGTGTGAAAGCCACAACAATTCGGGTAGAGATAGGAGCCCTGGGACTAACATAGAAAGGGTTGGAGAAATATATACGACAAATCCCAGGTAACATCAAAAAACATGAGCTACAGAAGATCACACTACGAACATCACACATCCTACGAAAGGCACTCTCCATCAAAATAGACTTCAACGTCAATCTAACCCTGGACCCTGGGAATGGGCTCGCCTATTATGTTGTACCAATCGTATAAATGAAGTTCAGGATAAAAATAATGGTAATAGTAGTAGTAATAATAATAATAATAATAATAATAATAATAATAATAATAATAATAATAATAATAATTGTTATAAATTAAATCCGCGTTGCCGATAGCAACGCGTCCCTTGGATTCCCTAAGGGTATTTTGTATTCTAGCGCTATATTTAAAAATTCAGTTTTGAGCTAGCAGTGGACGTGAACAGAAGAATTCAGATTATCCTCGAAATGTAGAAGTGAAAGAGGCGAGCTGATTTCGACGCGTGAATGCTAATTAACTTGAACTGTAGAATACTGAGACACTGAGAATTAAATAATGAATCTTGAAGAACAGCGAAAAGACGACAACATCATTCGACTAGCTGAACAGGAGAAAGATCCCGAAGGTCCTGCCTGCGACGAAAATGTGGAAGAATCGCCCGTGGAATTTGAACATCAAAAGAGATCCCTCACTGGCTTCCTCGGTCGAGTGAGCACGTGGATAAGGAACGCAAATGCCTGCGTCTCGGATAAGAGAGTCGGCGACTTAGAGAGTGTTCGAAAGGAATTAGATGTGGCTTGGGAGAGGTACGACAGTTTTTATGAGAATTATATCGCGAAGAACTTGCCGGAAGGCGAACTTGATCGTGTGCAAGACAGGTACACAGAAATAGTAGTTCAGTATGAAGAATGTATAATAAGAATTAATGATTGTTTAACGCAAATGAAGAAAACGAGTACTAAAGGAAACTCAGTTAAATCAGCGCCTTCTTCGAAACGATCGAGATTAAAAGATTTAAGAAGGGATATCGAAATGAAAAGGTTAATATTAGAGCAAGAGCAAGAACTGGCACAATTTGAACTTGACATGGAGAGAAAGAAAATTGAACTGGAATTTGAAAAGAAGAAAAGAGCATGCGAACTAAAATTTCAGATCCAAATAGCCGAGAAAGAGGCCCAGCTTTTAGAAGATGATAGGAGCGATAGCAGCAGCCAACGCGGTCTGGGGGGTAAAAGTGGTTTTGAGTTTCTACCGACAATGAGAGATGAAGAAAAGATTGAGAAATGGAGAGCGAGCTGTGCTGATAAGAATAAAAAACCCAAACACGACCCTGAGCAGGGCGGGAGAAAAGATCCACTTGGGGAGGGGTGCAAGACGCCTAAGAACGAAACTCAAAGGGACAAGCCCGTTATTGAGGGTAACCAGACTTCAGCTATCCTGCTAAAGCTAACGATGCTTCAGGGAATGCACCCTATTAAATTCTCAGGAAACCCAAGTGATTACCCAACCTTCAGAAACAGACTTCGCGACAATTTGGAGGATGGAATCTTGAATGACAGTCAGAAATTAGAATTTCTTCCTAAGTTTTTGTCCTGCGAAGCCTATGAAGTAGTCGAGAGAGTCTCGGGATGTTCTTACGATTCAGTCCTAAGAATTTTACACGAGCGCTATGGTCAGCCAGCCGCTGTCGCTGCCGCGTGCATAGAAAGTTTGACGAAGGGGCCGAAGCTGCAGAACAATGACTATACTGGTTTACTTAATTTCGCTGAGCAACTCGAGGCTGCCTCAAAGAAACTTTCCGGGCATTATGAACTAGAAGCTAGTACAATGGCGAACCTGCGACAAATAGTTACGCGCTTACCGAACTATCTAGTAAATAAATGGGGAGAAGTTTCATATAGCATTCGGGAAAAGGGAGGAATCCCACGGCTGTCAGATCTTTCAAAGTTTGTCAGGCGCCAGGCGGCAATTAAGAACGATCCGGGATTTGTCGCTGAAAAGAAGCCGGAAAGGCAGAACGCAATGAGTATCAAGGGGCCGACTTCTAATTCAAGAGGGCACACTAACGCGTTTCATACAGACCTCGAAGCCGGAGGCTTAAGCGTTTATTATCAGAACCCTGAGAAACGCAACCTTAGGCGATGCTTGCGCTGCTCTAAGGACCATGAGCTTGCTGAGTGTGAGCGATTTATATCTGATGAAATTCAAGCTCGGTGGGATATAGTTAAGCAGAATAAATTGTGCCATGTCTGTTTGAAATCGGGTCATATGCGAGCTCGGTGTGAATCAAGAATCTTTTGTAGTTGTGGAAGTGACAGGCGTCATCACAGATTGTTGCATAATCCCCCTAGACTGAGAGACGACATTACTGGACAGGATCCCCACCTGGACAGACAAAGGGAGATACAGGCAGCACGGGCCGACATCCAGTATAAGGATCAAGGGACGCAATTTCCTCAAAATCCAAGAGCGATAGAACAGTACGCAACCATTACGGAAGCTCCTTCAAGAACTATTTTACTGCACGTTGTGCCAGTTAAAGTAATTGCGCCGAGTGGTTCTTCGCTAACAACTTACGCATTACTAGACAATGCTTCTCGAGGAACTATTATCAGCAAGAACATTGCGAACAGTCTGGGTTTAAAAGGACCGCCACAGCTTGTGACCGTGAACACTGTTGTAGAGAAAACGAGCGAACATTTCCAGTTGGTGCGCTTCGAGTTGCAGTCAGCTACAGGGACAGGGGAAATTATCAAAGTGGAAGAGGGGCTAGTGTCAGAAAAGTTCAATATACCAGAAAGGTGTCTTCCTGAGGACATTGATAACAGTCGCTATCCCCACCTGAAAGATATAGAGATTCCCGAGGTTCAGGTCAAAGCTGTTTCCGTTCTCATAGGAGAGGATGTAGATTATGCTCATGAGGTGTTCGAAGTTCGAAAGCCTACCTCACCTGACAACCGTCTGAAGGCGTTGCGAGGCCCTCTGGGGTGGGTTGTAACTGGAGTGGTTGAGGGACATCCTTCCTCCAAGGAGATCATTGTGAACTTTACAAACTGCGAAAAGAGTCAGTGTGAGTTAGTTGAAGATTTCTGGAAGTTAGAAGCCTTTGGTATGCAAGGAGCCCCTGGAAGTCGAGAAGGCGAACACGTTAACAGGTTATCAGCACCGCATAACTGGTCCAGGCAAGACATGCGCGCAGTTGAAACTTTGCAAAGAACGACCAGGTTGTCTGACGGGCGTTATGAGACAGGTCTGTTGTGACGTAAAGAAGATGTCCGGTTACCCAACAACCGTTGTGAAGCAGAGAGGAGAATGTCCAGCCTGAAAAGGAGATTCCCTAGAGACCCGGATCTCGAGCAGAGATACTGTGCGGTGATGAAGGAATACATTGGCAAGGGTTATGCCCGTAAGCTCTCACCGGAAGAAGCTGATCACCTAGGTGAAAAAGGTGGCGGCAAGAACAATTACTGGCCAATCACTAATGGAGACACTGGCTTAAAGAGTACGAACCAACTTTGCAGGAGAGACCCAAGTGGCAACAGGAAAAAAGGAACCTTCACGCCGGAGACATTGTTCTGGTGGCTGATGATAACGTTGCGAGGAACCAATGGGCGTTGGGACGAGTCGAGAACGTGTTTCCAGGAGCAGATGGATTGGTGAGGACTGTGGAAGTGCGGTCGAAGGGAGCAACGCTTAAACGACCAGTGACCAAGTTGTGCTTATTAGAAGGAGTAAATGATGAATAAGGATGAACTTTAAAGAACATTGTACAAACCTGAACGAACATTTATGAACTTATGAATTTTATGAACCCTTGTTTAGCCGAGGGTTCATGGGGGGCGGAATGTTATAAATTAAATCCGCGTTGCCGATAGCAACGCGTCCCTTGGATTCCCTAAGGGTATTTTGTATTCTAGCGCTATATTTAAAAATTCAGTTTTGAGCTAGCAGTGGACGTGAACAGAAGAATTCAGATTTAGAAACGAAGACTCGGAGATTCACGCGAGTGTAAGTAGTTTTTGCTAAGAGTTTTTTCATCCTTTGAGCGAATATCTTATCAGGATATTTGGGTTTTTCCTTTTTTCAGCGAATCATTCTGTAAATCACGCTATTTATCCTCGAAATGTAGAAGTGAAAGAGGCGAGCTGATTTCGACGCGTGAATGCTAATTAACTTGAACTGTAGAATACTGAGACACTGAGAATTAAATAATGAATCTTGAAGAACAGCGAAAAGACGACAACAATAATAATAACCACATGAACCACCCGACCGGTTTTTAGAACTTTCAAATTGCTTTGCTCGTTGCTTTTATTTTAGCTAAATGTTAATGAGTAAAATTTTACAATATATTTTCTTCTTTTACGGCCAAGATCTCTCAGGATCCGTAGACGCACGCTGATGCTGTCTCATCCCTAGCTCTCTATCCTCAGCAAGCATGATAGCCTGAGAAGCGTTAGTCGCAGATGTCCTTCATCCAGCCTCTTCGGGGCCTGCCACCCCCTCTACCGCCAGGAACGCGACCATGCATGATGATTTTAGCCAGTTTTAGCTCACTTGGATGTCTCGTGACATGGGAAAATTTTCAGTTTCCGCTCTTGTGTGCCAAGTCTTTCACCTGCTTTTTCACTGACTCATCTGTGCGTTTGTCCTTACAATACGTATTATTTGAATATTACCCACGAAGCATATTTTATAATTATTTGATAGTATCGATAATACATAATTATACATCGTTTATACAAACGTTCGAGTTTGAACTTGTTTTTACAGACAAGTGAAGAAATTAAACCAAAGAAAGATAAAATCCAGGCTTTTTAGGGACTTATTCGGGGAAAAAAATGAGCTTTAGAGTGGGAAGGGGACTCCTTTGCCCTTTTAAGCTATTTTAACTTCGGGGTAGTAGCAAGGGAAACCATTTCTTTGCTTTTGAAAATCGACTGCTTAATATATCCAGGTTTGGACGCGTTCTTAATACCAAGAGGAAATAAGGGAACTGCAAGAGTAATGTAAGGGTAAATCTCTATCCCTCCTACACTTCTTTTTCTTGCCATTCTGACTCTTCTTCTATCGGCCCCTTTTAAATCACAAGGCACTATCAAATCTACATGTTTACAAGCTAATAGAAGTGTTTTTAGTAACCCGTGAAGTCGAACCATCCATCTGAAAACCATATTCCTCCCTTGAGAGTATATACTTAAGACCGTTTCGGTAGTTTTTACAGAAGGCAAAACAAATACAGGGATTTACAGCACTCCAGGAATGCACCATAAAGAATGAAATGAATGGAAAGATAGTTAGAAATGCGCAAGTGGGTTTTCCTGCACTGTGTAAGTAAGACATTGCCATGAACATGTTTACAAGCATCGGGAAAATACAGGCCAAGAAAGCGATTATTATGGCCACTGAGAGGCGAAGAACTTGCCGGCTCGTTTGGTATTTATGAGGTGATCTTCTTGAAGACATCTTTTTCCTCTTTGTGGCGTTTCGTTTGACGGTGCACGCTATCATGGCGTACAAGATGGCCAGAACACAGACGGGTAAGATAAAAAAAGTTATGGATATGACCGTGACGTACCATTTATGTGTTTCTTCATGGTCAAACGCTGGGTCCCATCTCGGCATGCATTGATAGGTTCCATCTTCGTAAGGGAGCAGTCGAAAGGTGTAGAAGTAAGGAGCATAAACCGCAACGGCCACAATCCACGCGCACAGAATGCATGTTAAACGCGATTTTGATGTGATAAGTGTTGCCTTTAGAGGATAGACAACAGCGATAAACCTGTCTATTGCGATCAACACAAGGCTTTCTATAGAGACCACAATAGAAGCTTCAGGAAGAAAGTAGCAAAGTTTGCACAAGATGTTTCCCACTAACAAGGGACTGTCCACCATAAAGGCAGAGGATCCGGTAACAATCTGCCCTATCTTTACTGGCATAATGGTCAACGACATGAGAAGATCAGAGGCGGCCATGTTGAATACAAAATAATTAATCGACTTCCGAAGATGTTTATTCTTGTAAACAACCACGATAACAAGAGTGTTTCCAACTAAAGAAACCAGGAGAATGGAGACATAAGCAAACACCTTGATCACCTTCTCTGCGTTGGAATCCTTCGAGAACTGGCAATCCCCATCATCAATGCTCCCAGCACCAGACTGGTTTCCGACAGGAACACTCGAGCTGGAATTTTCACACATTTCGCTATGATTCGGAGCCTTTTTAAAGAGCGAAGGATACTTTCTTTGTAATTCTCAACGATGTGGTCGCAATGAACCTGCGATATCTCCCAGTTTATGTAGCAATTGACAGGCAAAGAGGCATGCAGTTCGATTAAGATGGTAGTGGACTAATTCTATTAGCCACCGTGGCTGGAAAAATTTAAAAGCAATTACTGATGTTTTTGTTCAGTGGCATTTAAAGATGATAATTGCTTTTAGCTTTTATGAAAAAGGGCAAAACCTTGTGGACTGCGCGATAAGTTTTTTTGTAAAGCGGAATAAGAGTAGAACAGTTAGTGTAAACTTTCTTCAATTTATCACAGCATCAGGACGTCAGAGGAAAAACATGCCACAAACAAGTGCGTGCATGTTTTCACGTCCCTACTATCGTCGAAGAGACAGCCGGAGTGTTTTAAAAAACATATCGGAAAAGACATGTCATCAATTAAAATAGAAAATTACAAAAAAAGGCAAAAGGAAAAGGCCTCTATAGAATTAAGATTGCCCGAATATCAAAATAATGTCAGGTGCGTATAAAGTGTTTACAGAACAAATAATGTAAATTGACCATTATTCTTCACATACCACAAACACCACTGACAACAAACGTGCAATTAATTAAAACTAAAAGGTTTCTGTATAATTAAGATTGGCTTGATGTTGAAATAATATGACCAAATACGTTAAGTATCTATAGATCAGTAAATGTAAAACGACCATCCAACTTCTTATAACAACAGAAACACCCAAAAAATCAACTAAAGCCAAATGGTTTCTTTATAATTAAGCTAGATTGGTCGGATGTTAAAACAATAATAATGATCAAAAGGTACGTTAATCAAAGTGTAAATGGACCATTCTCCTTACTGTACCACCACAACCAGTCAAATTGAAAGGACATGTTATTAATTGTAATTGTAATTAATTCATTACAGTCGCAAAAAAACGACTTTACTTATATAAGGAAAACACTAGTACTCTACATTATTTCACTACGAAGAAATGATTCGCAATTCTGCTTTCGTTTTTATTTTAAACAAATATCCTGACTGCAAATCTTTTACAATTTAAAAGGTCATATTTTGAAATACTGTTTTTCTTTGCTTTTTCCCCTTGTTCAAGGACACTCATTAACGAAAATCGACTATTGAACGGTAAACTATTCAGGGTTTTGAAGATTGCCCTGTGAGATAAGGATAAAGCGGTTTTGGCCGGACGGTCACTTCACATTCCGACTAACGGACTAAGAGAGTCCGAAGATTCAGAGAAACTTAAAACTCAAAACGCAACCCCAACCCCCCCCCCCCCCCCCCCCCCCCCCCTTCCTCACTGTGAGCTACTTCTTTTTTTCTTTTTTACTATAAAATCCCCGAATTTCGGGTCCATTACAAATTATCTAACGTAGGCGAAAAATTGAGTAACTATTGAAGCGATGTCATAGATCTGGCTAAGTTTTTGCTCTGGGATTTCCTATTGTCTCAAGTTTAGCACAACATCAAATACCCATGCAGCACGCGAGAATTTACCGCGCTTGATTGCCCTCCGCAATCTATTTACTATTGTTTTCTTCCTTTCTACAGCATTACCATTCTTCTGAAAGGTTTCAGAGGGCAACCAGGCACCTTTAATTCGCGCCTGCTGCATGGGAATTTGGAATAGGAAATCCGAAAGCAAAAACTGAGCCAGATCTATGACATCGCTTTAACATTTACTTAATTTTGCGCCTACGTTAGACAACTTAAACAGTTTTCAATGGACACGAAATTAAGGGATTTTATAGTACACTGATCAATTACAGCACAGAAATTCGATCTATCGACGAATTTTGGTTTAATCGCTGTTTTCGTGAAAATAGCCTTAGAAATTACAAAAAGAGCTTAGCTTTAGTTGTGTTTGACGGATTCACATGTTTTCATGTTTTCTCGAAATGGCGCAAGTCTACTTGCTTTTAGCCGTTTGTAGAGTGTATAAAGGTCATTTGCAAAACGAATGAGTTACAAAAACGGTTCGGGAACCTCTGAAAGGTAGAAAATTTGTCTGCATTAAATCCAGCGTTACATCCAGCGCAATGCATGCATAATTTATATCCTTTTTGTAGAAATTCAAAGATATCTCGAAATTCCTCTAATAGATTTTTGTGAAACTTCGCACATCAAAAGACAAGCACCCAAAGTATACGTAGCGTAAAGCATTTCCAAAAAAATGCCGATAAGGGCAGAAATTCGATTTAGGGCCAAAACTGTTCTGACGTCATTGTCACGTGATATTTATTCCGATCGCCCAAAACCAAGAGACTATAAAGGGGACAGAGAGGGCATCCCTCATATACACCCTATTCTATAGGTAATTCGTCTCGAGTTATTTTTAACACCACACATCTCAAGGGGGATTAGACAACAGCCAATCACATAGCGCGAATGTGTTCCGCGTGGATGACCCACGCTGACAGCCACGCGTCCTTCACGAAATGACGCAGAACAAAATGGGGGAAGACGCTGGGAGCGATTTTGCTATTCCTTTTGTCGACGAAAACGACTACAGCGAGAGTTCTGCGAAAGCTGTGTCAGCGAAACCGAAATTAAAGAAGAATCGCCCTTCCTCTCTTGTATAGAGCTAACAGTAGAGCAGGGAAATCCTTAACACACTGAATATTCTCTCAGGATCATTTATAATTTACAGTTTGAAAAGAGCAATTTGTGGTTTGATGTTTATTTTTTTCCAGTCTTTATAGCGATTATTCCTACCCACTTACTTTGTCAATTGTAGGCGAACCCTCCTAAAGCTGAATTTCAAGGGACCATATTCAAGCTCAGAAAGAGAAATAAAATTTCGTCGTTGCTTATTTACGTCCTCCATAAAACGCAAAATTAGGCATTTTCACGTCGTAGTCGTGCAAAAACGGGAAAGAAGTGAACAAAAAAGTTTGTTGCACGTGCGAAGTTGTTGTTTTGCTAATTAAACCTATTGTTTTTTTAACGTTCTAGTTGTCGTCCGCGTCGTTGGATCTTAAACTCCATAAATTGTACAAACGACCGGTTTCAATAGACCGGCGAAATTTCTCATTTCATTTAAGCACTGAGGTTACGACAACTTCGAGTTAAACTGATTTCACGGGTTGTCAAAGAGTCCAGCGATTTCTTTTTCCCAGGTGAGCGCCGATCTTTTTACGCTTTCATTGCCTCTCGCCCGACATGTTTTGCACGGCGTTTGGTCATGCGAAACCTCCACGAAACATCCACGCCTCGCGCGAGGTAACTTTATCCCGATCTAAAAATAACTCGGGACGAATTACCTATGGAATAGGGTGTATATGGGGGATGCCCTCTCTGTCCCCTTTATAGTCTCTTGCCCAAAACATAATATCATAATAAAGTTCAGTCTATTTGTAATACATGTGTTTTAATGGTTTTACAACAAAGATCAATTTGTTTCAGTGTAATAGATTCAAAGATGTGTAAAAATACTGTTTAGCCACTTTAATATTAATTGTTGTACTGCAAATGCAGATGTAAAAGAGATTGATCCGAGCATTTTGCCATTGCTCAAATCTTGTTGCGAAGAAAACGTATTTTGTAGGTTGTTTTAAAGTTTTGTCTTGCGAAGTTTTTAGTTGGCATGAGTTTTCATGTATGCGATTTGTGCTTGATAATTCACTCGTGCTTAGGGTCTCTTCATGGCTGGCAGTTAAATGCCAAGTTTTCTAAAGGTTAAACATTGGTGCTTGAGGGGGTTTTGAGTCGCATCCTCTTTTAAATGTGTCAAGTTTAAATTAATTTGTGGTGCGGTCTTAAAGTACATGTAGGCATGCTTCTATGTTCAGGATCAAAAGCCGACCTTGCTCAAGCGTGTCATTTCAGATTACGACGTAATTAAGGGCTTCTTCGGCAGCCCTTCTGCGAAAATCGAGAAGAAGAGACTCCACAAGCAAGCACCTCGGAGGTTATGAGTTAGACCATTCCTGGAACAGTTTTGGTCGACCAAAAAATGTAAAAGAAAGGGAGAGAATTTTAGAATGACTCATGGGCAGTCTTTAGAAACAAACAAACAACAATGAAACGGATAAGTCTTTTTCTCCTACGCGAAGCAATTTTACTTTTCAGCAAATGGGTTTTTTATTCAAAACGAGGTTTATATACAGAAAAAAAATCTGATACAAAACAAACCAAAGAAAAAACCAAATAATAATAATAATAATAATAGCAAAGCCTAGCATTCTCATGGGTCGAGTTGGTAACTCTTTCGATTCACCCATAGAGAACATTATGGCTAGTATATAGTAATTAGTAAAAGGAACTTTTTAATCTATGGACGAAATTAATTTAGTGGTATTTATTTGACAGAGGCGCCTGAATGGCGCTTTTGTTGGAACCGTATTATCGACGACTGTTGCATATTAGGAGTTTTTTCTTGAAAGCATGTCAATGTTAGAAAGCCCAGAAAGCTATTAAAATGTTAAATAGTAAATTATTTTGACTTAAAAAGCTGAAAAGGAACAAACAATTATTTGTCAATGTCGACAATAAAGTACGTTTGGCGAGTTCTGACTCTAAAGACTACAGTACCATTCCAAAAAGACTAAAATTGGACTCAAAAGCTTGACAGTGCAGCAAGGTTGACTAGTTAAACTTTTCTAAAAGATTTCTTTCTTTTTCTACACCCCTTTTTAATTTTATCCAGTCATTAATGCCGCCCTCGATAGAGACTAAACATTTGCAAATTATCGTCCGTCTTCGTCGATGATCTTCGACATTATTAAAAAAGAAATAAAACAAGACGAGTTGACGCGTTCAATTTATTCTGATGAGCGATAATATAATTAGAATAAAAAAAATACCTCGTGAATCCTTACACATCAAAGAAAACCATATAACACAAAGCTTTCTCAAAAATGTCTTGCGATACATATAATACGCAAAATGAAGGAGTTTATGAGACAAAATTAATGAACCTCCAGCTATTGAAATAAAGGAAAGAAAATA